GACTTAAAATTAAGCATCTGTTTATCCTTCTGAACAATACAGCTGCTGCTGCTACATCCAAAAAACCACAAGCTGGGATTTAAGGACAGCTTAATCCAACTGACAAACACCAACAGTATTCTGAATTATGAATCACTCAGCAAGTCGAGATCACAAGCTTTCAGTTAAACCGTCGTAATGTACAAACAGAAATCCTTTCAGTTCCCAAAGTGTTACCATCGAGAAAAAAAACTTTCATTTTTAACCAAATTAAAACTCGACTGAGGGAAGAAATGAAGTTTCACTATAAGCTGGAAATGAGTAATAAATCTATTAATCGCACGATAAATTAAAATAAGCACAATAATTTCCATTTGCTTGATTTATTCTCTCTCTTTGTACCAAAAACTAGATAACAAAAGTCTTCAGTCTGGTCTCGACTAGCTTTTTGTTATTTGTCGTTTTGGTTATTTATTCTGGATATTTAAAATACCTTCCAGTTCCAGAGTTGAATTGAACCATTATATTAGTTGAAAATGGTCTCAAAACAACAATATTATTTATCGCAATAACTTCTGGGACAATTTATCAGCCAGCAAAATCAGTTACATATCGTAGCAACTTCTTAAACGTTTAGTCTGCTCTACTGTTCATTAATAAATAATAGATAAATCTGTACAGTCACTAAAGAGTTAGGCACAGATAAGAGATGCAATGCATATCAAAAGTGACGCTTGAACTGGAAAAATAGATTAATGTGTGCGTAGATTTTGTTCGACAGACTCTAAAGTCATCAATGTGAGGAAGGAAAGACGGGGTTACATTTAATATCATCCCTACTGGACGTCAAACATAGTTTCACCATGCATCCTTCCTAGCATTGTTTGAGACACCCTGACCTAAATTTATCACAGATCAACAAGGTGCAAAACTAGCAGCTTTCTACTTTAATGTCTGTTACTGAAATGGGAACTGAAGACGCCCAAATTGGTTGTTTTTCATCAAAATGTATGTTTATATTCTCTAAAATCTCATTAACGCGTCCCATACTTAGCTCTAACGTGTTGAACAAAAGTAGGTCATGTGCACACATTCATCAAATCAACCACAAACCAAAACACATCTGCTCTGCGCCCACAAGAACCGGGTTTCTTGATCGTGTCGTAACCCGCCTGCTGCCTGAAAGCCTCTGAGCAAGCTGCTAATTGCCAGCCATTGAGCCACCACACACTTGGCCACTCCTATTGACGTCAAGTCCCTGTGATTAAGGGATGAGATGAGTCTTACCAAGACACCTCTCAGAAACCAGCTGAAACTGCAGCGAACCAGCCTGCAGCAGCGGCCCAAAACCCAACACGTATTTATTGTAATCAAAGTGGATGTTGACCCAAACAGACGATCAGTTTCAGGTTCAGAAAGCGGCAAGTTGACAAAATAAAAACCCATCAGGCAACAGCTTGGGATGGAAAGGAAATTATCTGCAGGCCAATCTGTAACTTTTTCTCTATGTGGGAATCTTTTTAACTGGTTTCCTCTCCATCTGTTCTTATCTTTTAGTTTTCAGACTTTCTTCTTTTACTGCTCTCCAATTTGAGATATTTGCTTTCATTACACTTTGTTTTCTCTCAGTTCTCTAAAGGTCTGGCATTAATAATGCTCAAGCCTGTTGCAATAAGCAATTAATCACATGATAAATTAAAATTAACTTAATAATTACCAGTCTCATTATTAATTTTTTAAGGGTAATTCTGTTTACAGAAATGTAGATTATTTTGTATTTAATTGAAATGATTTATTTTCTTTAAAATTAAATATAATTTAAGAAAAGAATATATACATCTTCCAGTTCCAATGTTCAACTTTCTCTACAAAATTAAATTTTTTTGCTCTTTGACGGGTCAATTTGCATAATCAATATTTTTAAATAGTCTCAAAGCAGCAATATTATCGTTTATCGCCATTTTTGGGCTAATTTAACGCCTAGCTAAATTTACTATCTACTAATCCTGCCAACAACTAAACATTCTCACTCTTCTGTTTTTAAATTTTTACTTTTAACCAACATAGAAACATAGAAAGGATCTGTTCTACTGCTTCTCTTTTGTGCCAGGTCGCCTGGTTCTGGTTCTGCTGGAGGTTTCTTCCTGTTAAATGGAAGATCTTCCTTTCCAGTAGCTGTGTTTCCTTTACAAATGTGCGCAAAACTTTGTCAAGAGTTCGCTAATGATGGAAAAAAAAATTTTGCAATTGTGTTGTTTCCATTAATTAAGAAACAATTAGAAATCAAACGTGACAAAGTTTGTTCACACAGTAAGTCATTAAAGATCCACCAATCCTCCTCCAACCACTTCCTGTCTTCTTCATCTTCGTGGTTTCAATCAGTGGAAACATCCTGTTGTTGATTCATGCGACTCGTGTGATGTAAAAAAAAAAAAGTGTTTCCATTGTAGTTTTGCAAAATACAGCCAAAAAAGACTAAACACCAAGAATTTTTATCAAAAAATGTGTTGTTTTTTTTTTCAAAATTGGCATGTTTCCATTAAGCAAATTTATATTAAAAATGTTAGATTGTGCAATAAATGCTGCAAGTCAATCTTATGGGTTCCCTTAGAAAACTTTTGAAACTAATTTGTATAGACTGACCCTGACTCACTGTTTCATAACTATCTGAAATGTTTGTGTGATTAAATTTAAATGACTTTTTCTCTCAAGATGAAGTTTTTAATTGGACTAAATTGAATTATTGTGCACATTTTTTACAACTTATTTGGTTACAACTAAAGGTGCAAAAATATTATTGTGGCCCTCGGTTTGCCTCTTTTACTGATGGCGCTCTGAAAATCCAATTAAAGGAAGTTTCTTCTGTTTTTGTCCACACATTTTACCCAAACATCCTCCCATGATTACTGTACAAACAAGCTAGAACTGAGAATATGTAGCAGGATACAGATTTGAAAACAGTATGTTAAACTTAACACCTCTCCCATGGCTGTATAGTTTCAGCATGAATCAACAGGTTTCCCCGTTCTACAGTCAATATTCAATGAAAAAAATGTATAAAACCAACACAGCTCAGCTCAAGTTACATCTGATGCAGGCAGCCAGGCCTGGCTAATATTTTGAGGAAACAACTACCCGTCTTTAGAGTTGAGATTGCACCATTTATGTTTCCAGCATTGTATTAAAGATGGCCAGATTCTGTCAAGTGAGATGAATCAATTCAAACAAAACTGTCAAAGATTTTTCTGATTTACGAACTTTGTTTTTCAGTGTTGCCTTGGAATCATGTCCCAGCAAAATGTTCAAATAGTTTGAATATTCAAATCAACAACAAAAGTCAAGCAAATGCAAAGCCAAAGGATTTTGTTAGTCAGTGTCCACCTAAAACTATAATTAATGCAACAACAACCAGTATTTAAAGCGTAAGAAAGCTTAGCTGGTTTGTGATCAGTAAATATAAGATCTGGGGTTCTTTTCTCCTTTTTGAAATGATCATTGTAATTTGTGACAAATTTGTATCGACAAATACATCTTTCAAGGTTTCTCCAGTGTTTTATAAGCCTGGCGGGCCACCAGGCTTTTATTGTTTACCCACCAGGCTTAGCTTAGCATTGATTATTTAAGTTTTTTTTTAATGTTTGCATTTTTAAGACTTTATAGTTGGTGTTCAATCTGCCAATAGCACATAATTATAACAGTGGGTTGCTGGATGAATGATTGCAGAACGCCCCAACCACCGGGCTTAGTTTAGTGTTCTGGAGGAAAGCTTGATCTTTTGTGCTTTTTCCTAATATCTCACACTTTTTTTTTTAAATCAGAAATGCAACATCCAGGATTTTCATGATAATGTTGATTTAAAATACGTACTTTATCATCAAATTAAAAGGGTTCCTTAATAGATAATAGGATTGTCAACCATTTATGAATAACATAATAATAATAATAATAATAATAATAATTAACCTTTTACCTGAACTAAACTCAAAAAAAGTATTTTAAATTACATGTTGGGGATTGGTGCATTAAAATGGATTACTTTGGATGCATTTAATTAATATGCACAGAAAAAATATCTATGTTTTTGTGTTGAATCTCTAGCCAATTGATTAGTTTCTTTAAATTTACACCTTAAAGAAATGTCTATATACATAAGCTACATAGAAATGTTGAATGCATAGACAAATGCATTAAGTTCAGTCTAAAACTCGTTTATAAGCAGTTACTACTAGTTAACCTCTTGGGGATTTGATGTGAAAAACCCCTTGTCTGAATCTGGCCTTAAACTGTTGTATTATGCTGAAACTCATTCACCTATTTCGGGAAGCTTCATCCGCTAAGCACCTGTGGTCAACATCTTGGCCTTTGGCACAACGTCAGCAGCCGTAAATAAGTTGTTTCTACCTTTTACTGGTGAGCAGATGTAATCCTACTAACAGAATTAACTTCTGCCTATTTTCAGTGGCTAAAACAAACAAAAATCCGCTTTTAAACTACTTATTTGATCACACCTAAACTTAAAACTGTTAATATTTCAGCAGAAACTAAACACAGCTGTTCACTGAACGCTGTCAAAGCCGCCACATTAATTCAAACATCTGCACAGATGAGTTCTTGGCTGAATACCGTCAAACAAATGTAAATAAAGCTCTTGTTGCATCAAGGCTAGCGCAATAATACGCAGAAAGCAGAAAAAGGTGACTAAAGCCTTAAATCAGACACATAGGTAAACGGGATAAACTGAATAAGCAATTAAGAATCTGAAATTAATATTTGTTAATGGTAACATGTTTAAAATATAGTTTTTAATTGTGAAAAGCCGCTGTTAGCCGCATGCTAAAATGCTAGTCGCGCTAGCAGAGCACCGAGACGAATGAAGAGGAAACTAGCTCTTAACCTTGAAATTAAGGCCGTAATGTCACGCCTGGCAATAAAACGAAATCAAAACAAAACTCTAAAGCTCTCAAAGTGCCCTAAAAACCAGACTAACCAAAGAGGGCAGCATCAGCTAGCCGAGACATTACCTTTTCTTTTCAGGTATGATCGCTGTGTCCATGTCAGGACGGTTGGGCTGGAGTCGAGCCTCTCTTATCAGCGTCAAGCTGGACCCGCTCGCGTCGAGAAATCAACCAAAATGTCACTTTTTTACTGAAGTTACCCCGCAAATCCTCGGGAAGATCACATAAGAGTTCCTTCTGGGGTTGCTTAGTCCAAAAAAATCAAACTCTTCTCTGCTGAAAACGGAGGTTTTTGGTTAGTTTTTGCGAACAGAAGAAAAATAGTGCCACGCTGGATAAGTGCTTTTTACCGAGACAATGTTGCCTCATGAAGGCTCCGCCCGCTGCTGCCGCGGGGGCGCGCAGTCACATGATTGTTCCACAGCGGGAACGCGCGCCGTCCATTCACAACAAATACTCTCACTATTAAAGCCGCTTCTAAGCAGAAAACTATACTCAAGTAAGAGTAGCACTACTTCAACATATTTTTACTCAAGTAGAAGTAAAAAGTAGCTATCCAAGAAATTACTGAAGTAAGAGTAAAACAGTATTTGGTAAAAAAAAGTCTACTGGAGTACTGAATAACTGATCAACTAATCAATCATTTCATATTTTAACTTTTGTATTTTAAAGATCAAAATGACAATAATTCATAAAAATAACAAAAAAATTTACTAATCAAGCAAAAGAACATTCTTCCAAATAAAAAACTTATGAACTTCAACAAAAATTGCAGGTGTGTGTTTGTGTCTGGTGAATTATTGTTAAAACAAGTTTGTTTTTCATTAAGTGGGTAGAAAATCCAGAAATTTTACTCAAGTAAGAGTAGAAATACTTAATAAGCACAGCCTAGTAAACGTACTCCTGAAAGTATTGGTGTAAAAATGCTAACCCTGGGTAAGTCGTGGGTCATTTTCCTTTCCTTTTAGCAGATGCAGTGTTGTGTGTTCATCTGTCACATAAGATCACAATATTCTAGTCAATATGTGAACAAGTTCAGCCTTTTTTCTGAAATATAATATTAATTTCCTCCTCAAGTTGGATATGTGGAGATCATGTCAGTTTTAAAGTGTGTGCTTCCTCACCGTAACTTTATGAATATTTAGGTTGGTATTTTGCCCGTTTCAAGCCTTCTGTTCTAGCAGAAGTGTGTTAGCGCATGAAGTTCAGGAGTTATGGTCAGATTTCCCAACAGACATTTCTGGTCAGTCTATCACCATCCTGCAAATTATTCACTAAATCTATAATTTTGTGATTCAGTTTTTCTTTGGAACACAAACATTGAGGTTTAAATTAATATGTGAAAGTTACAGTAAAACATACCTCCAATGAAATAAAACAAAAAACATGTTTTTTTATTTTATGGCGCTTCTTGCTTTGCACAGAAAGGGAGAGACATTGGCACCTGAGTGCAAACAGGAGAAATAACGTCTTTCCAGATTGTGAAATACTTACAGTGAGCAGGAACTGAATCAAAGCAAACAAATGGAAATGAAAAGGACTTAAACACCTTTCTGAATGAAATGTCTCAATTCGTGTGTTTTGGTTTTATTCTGATCTTTCGGTTTTTGTTTCTGGTTTTTCATCACAGAAACAAAAAGTTAGAAAAAGCAAGGAGATTTCTGAATTTGACAATTTGAACTTTTAGAAAAAAACTTTGAAATTTTGAGATTAATGTTCCAGTAAAAACAAGAAAATTTCTGAGTTTAAAAAGTCAAAAGGTTTAGATTTTTCAAACCCAGAAAATTTCCAAAATTCAAAAATTTTTCAGCCTTTCAAACTTGAGTTTTTCCTAGAAAATTATCAACTTTTCAAACCCAGAATTTATATGTATTTTTCTAAAAAACAAACACTGAAATTAATTTAAAAAAATTTTCTAGCAAAATTTTAACTTTTCCAACTCCAAAATGTTTTAAAGAAAAATTTGGGGATTAATTAAAAAAATTCTGGGTTTTTGATAACAAGTTTTCAACTTTCAGACTAAAAAAATTCTTTGCTTTTTCTTGAAATATATTAAATTAATCTAAAAATTTATGAGATTTTCTAGCACGTGTTTGACTTTTACAAGTCAGTAATTTCTAAAATATTTTAAAGATTAATTTCAAAATTTATTAGGTTTTGTAGCAAACATTTGACTTTTCAAATGTAGGAATTTCCTTGTTTGTACTAGAAAATTTCTGAGATTAATCTCAAAATTTCAAAGTTTTTTTCTAGCAAATTTTTAGACTTTTCGAATTCTGAAATTTTCTTGTTTTTTCTTTCTAAAAAAAATTCTGAGATTAATCTCAAAATTCCTGAGTTATGCTATCAAATGTTCAAGTTTTCAAACTCAGAAATGTTGAAAGTTTATTAAGTTTTTACTAGGAACTTTATGAGGTTAATATTTTTGCCGGACATTTTCTGCAGTGGCTCCAACACGCCGTCATAGGGTTAGCTCATAGTTAGCTCCTAGATGCTTATGATCCGTTTTATTATCCTTATAAACGTCGCGCTTCAGGGATTCGCCTGAGGCTGAAACCAAAACCTGTCCGGTGCTAACGAGCCCAGTTTGAGTTCCGATCCCAGATTCTGTCAGACGGAACCAACAGGGACAGGTTACCGTCTATCAAAAAGGAGACCACCTGTTGTTTTCATTCGTGGAAGCACTTGTTCCTGAAATAACACAGAGAGGACCGCGGCGTTACGTCACCACTACCGCGGACTTATGGGAGGCGTTGAGCTGTTAAGGATTGTAGCTGAATAATAAAACTTTAGCCTGGATTCCACATCCATAACAAATAACCAAGTGATGAAAATAAAGACTGATGGCCACTTTATTAGGTACAGCTTGCTGCTGTTGGGTTTGACCCAGTTTTAGTCAGCTGCACATCCAGGTGATTTACTGGAGTGGGATCTGGAGACTGCTGAGGCCACTGAAGGGCAGTGACCTCATTACCGCATTCAAGAAACCATTGAGAGATCAGCTGGGTGCTTGTAAGTTAGTTTTGTCTTATTTCAAGGGTGCTAAGATATTTGCACAAAACACAAAAATTACTTGGTGAGATTTTGTGTTTTTGCAGTGTAGTTGCGCAAAGTCAACAACAAAACACTTGTTTTTTTCAGCAGCCATTGTACGGCACATAAAACCAGCAGACCAAATGTGCTGGAGTTCAGCTGGGCTTGATGGGGTTGCTAGGTAACGGTGCCTGTTCAATGTGACTTAACATTTGAGAAGTTTTTGAAATTGTTCATTTTCCAGACACCAAAAACGTGAACTTATTGACAAAACAACAGTTGGGTGTTTTTTTAAGCGCTTGGGTTGATTTTAGAAGCATTTCAGACCCAAATGGAAACATAACAACCTGAAAATGTGAATTTTGCGTAATGGGTTCCTCTTTAAAGCTTTACGAAAAGCAGTTGCTGCTTGCTGTTCAGAGGTACAACTGCGATATTTGATGATTGAAAACAGAACATCTTTGTGGGTCTTTTTGTGGCATTCAAATGTATTATCTGGCTAAAGCGCAGCTGGTTTATGCAGAACAGAAAATAAAATAACAGCTCAAAAAAACAAAACGAAAGTTTCAAAGTCTTAAATTGGACAGTCATGTCTTTCTATCCTAGAAGTGATTTAATGTCGCTGAATTAAAATTACTCTGCAAAGAAGACGAACATGCAGGTATGACAGAAGTACCAGTTACATTTATTTGAGTAACTTTCACGTTTTACGGCACTGTACTTTTTATTTTTTCTTGAGTAATATTGCTGCTTTTACTTGAGTAAATTTCTGGGTACCCTATGCGATACAAGTAACTTCAATGAGGAAAGAAAAGATGTGAAGTAGTCATATTTAATAAATTAAAATACTATCAATCTAGCAGATTAGTTACACTAATGGATGTTTTCAAGCATTTTTCCTCCTTATGACGATTTCTCACTCAGATGAAATGACAATATGCATGAACTCTTCTTAATGCAGGACAGAGAGGTCTATAGATTATCTCGTCCTCTTCCTGTCTTGATTAAAGGCGACAGCACTGACGCCGTATGTGGTTTCCTGTTTATCTTCCGCTATTTAGCAATGAAAACTGAACCTCGGCTGAAGGCCCAACCCGTCCGCTGCAGGATCAGAAAATGTAGGTGAAAGTTTCAAGCCCTCCCTGTTTGCCTGCTTTTTGTTCCACTTTTATCAGGGAATGAACATTTTTTCATGAATTTCTTGGATTTAAACCAACAGGCGAGAGAGCAGGAAGTTTTCACACACACTGCAAAAACACAAAACATTACAAGTATTTTTGATCTAGTTTCCAGTACAAATATCTCAGTACTCTTGAAATAAAATAAACCTAAGATATAAGTAGCTTTTCAGCAAAATATAGGAGCTTGTTTTAAGTAAATAATTCCTTAATATTGATTAAAAAGTACTTGTTTCCATAGCAGATTATTTCACTTACAAAAAAAAACATTTTCCTTTATTTTAAGTGAAGTAATCTGATAGGAAAACTAGCAGTTTAAATCACTATTAAGGAATTATTTACATCAAACAAGCTCCTATATTGTGCTGACTGAGATATTTGCACTAGAAACTAGACCAAAAATACTTGGTAAGACTTTGTATTTTTGCAGTGTAACACAAGTCCATATCTTGTTGAAAAGTTACTTAGACCAAAAAAAAAAAAAAACTCTTGGTAAAATTTTGGCAAAAACAAAAAAAGTTACCAAGGGTTTTTTT